ATTAAAATTCGGGGAATCCCCGCTAAGTTAATTAGGGAATTTTCCCTTATTAAAATTCGGGGAATCCCCGCTAAGTTAAGTAGGGAATTTTCCCTAATTAATAGTCAGTAAATCTCTACTACAGGCTAGCTTTCACCAGCGACATAAGCGACGGAAGCAGAAGCATGAGCATAAGCATAAGATCGTTATGTTCTATTGAAAACGAATGTGATAGAAGCATAAGAAAAACAATAGGAAGCCGTTGTTCATGCAAGAATCCAATATGTGCAGGGGACTGAGTACGAGAATTTGATTGGCTTACCACCTTGTGCTTCTGCATGTTAGCGACGGAAGCATAAGAATCTGGCTTTCACTAGCGACGTAAGGACGGAAGCAGCAGCAGAAGCATAAGAAATAGGAAACCTTCCGTTCCTTCTGCTTCTGCTTCCGTCGATGTTCTGCTTCTGCTTACGTCTCCGTTTTTGATTTTCACAGGAACATAAGACGTCTTATGCTTCTGCTTCTGCTTCCGCTTCTGCTTTGGTCGCTAGTGAAAACCAGGCTTACGTTGAATAGGTACATTTTACAAATATATCAAGGATAAAATAAAAATTACCGAAACTAGTATATTTTTAAAAATATTTATATAAAAGAGCTCGAGGTTTGGTAATGAAAGCTCCAGAACCGGCTTTTTTCTTGATCAAAAGTCGAGTGACGACGACGGCGTATCTGAGAGCACCTTTTCACAAACAGTATTCCCACGTGTGAAAGTGTATGAAATACTTGCCTTTCCTTCGTTCTTCTTAGTCCACTTAATGTACCCTCTTTCTTTGCTTCCAGGATGATTGGCTGTGCATTTCGTAAACTGACATTCTGTTAATTGGTGCTGTATAAGTAACCGTCGATTTTTTGTCTTTTTCCATTGGGATGCTCGCTAACTCTTCGTTTTATTTCAGTTCTTTCGTTTTCCCAGCATAAATACTTGTATTTCCTCTTTTGAAGGAGTACAAAGCGCTTCTCTGGGAAATATTTTTACCATTCCCTTGTTATTGTAATTGTCTTGGATTTTATTTTTCAAATTTTGGAGATGCCATTTCAAAAAACTTCTTCAGTTAACATATCGGAGTGTTTTTTTCGCTTGTCTTGGCAGTAATGAACTGCTCACCCGCAATTACTCGCCATCTATAACTAGTAGGGCGTCATAATTCTTCGAAATCGCACTTCGCATGAGTTTTATTCTAATAGATCGAACGAATTAGATCCCCCTTCGAGACTCGGACTAACAAACCCATCACTTTACAAACAAAGAGTGAATGACTTGCACATAATCGTGATGTAATTCACTCTTTCTTTGCTTATTAAAACTTATAAAATGCAAAATACCAGTTTATTTCCGACTCACAATGGTTATAGCGCTAAGCACTACTGCTGGAAAAAATGTAGTAGCGACTAAAGATACCCMAAAAGGCTTTCAAACTAGGTGAAAGAAAAGCAAAATCGTCGGGTCAAAAATAAACTGACTTTTGGGGGAAAAGAGAGAAAAAGAAGTGTTTTACCACATTTTCCGACGCATTTTTCATGTTTAATTAACTGGCAAAGTTAAAAAAAAAAAGATATTTACTTCGTATTTGCCCCTTCAGTTAGGTATGTTTTTTATTCAAAAGCATTACTACAGCATGTTCTCGTCTGACTAAGGCAGGTTGATGCTCTAAAAAGTTATTCAAAACAATTCTTCAAATGATTAAAAAGGCATGCTTACAGAGTAGAAAAATGAGACTTCTTGGCTAGGAAGGCACTTCAAAATAAACTAAAGTGCTTACGAACAACCTAAGAGTGATCCTTACTATTGTTCTTTCCTTCGTGCCTTTGTCTTTTTGGATTTAGAATTACCCCCTGTGTTATTTAAGGACAATTTTTCACCCATCTCCTTCAGGCAATCGATGTACTTCTTTTCATTGCGGCCTGGGTCGTGTACTGGAACTTGCTTTACGAACAGCCGTGTTTTTGCTGTTCTTTTGATCTTTCTGTCAATTTCTTGGTTGTCTCCTCTCAGGTGTTCTTTGATTCTTCGTTTCGGGTTGTTGGACTTTCCAACGTATAGGATTTCAGACATGCTATTGTGATGTTCAATTATGGCATAAATTCCAGGATCCTTGGATATGGTTTTGCTCTTTATCGGTTGTTCCTTGGCATTGAGCAACCTTGTGCACACCGTTTTCGTCATATTTCAATTCTGAAATAACATAAAATAAACTCCTTTGAATTGCTAGCCTTGGTAATAAGCTGAATTGCCCAACAGAAGGATATTAGCCAATCAAATACTCTCTAAAATGAAGCATGAGTTCACATACAATGAGTGATCAAAATAAATCTTATTCCTACTCGATTGGCTCAAGAAACGATTCACAGTATACATTTAAAAGAGTGGCAAAATACTGAAAAAAAATGATTGTTTTTGAATGATTGCCTTGGTTGAATTTGCCGCCAAAAGAACATAAGCCAATCACATCAACGGATTTCGGGTATTCCACCTAGTGATCTGACCTTTTAGAAACAAATGGACGCTTTTTTACATATCAAATCACATCCACAAAGTCACGGTCTGAATGAGAATACTAGTCTATAGCTTTGTTTGTTATCTTGTTTTCGCCAATCTACTTTTTACAGTTCTCTAAAACCTAACCTACATTTAAAACAAATGCAAGAAGCTTTACGACTCGAAAACCAGATCGAAAAATGACTTGAAACGATCATGATTTCAGGCACTTACCTGAGAACACTTTAGTTATTGAAATTTTAAGGGGTTTCTACAAGTTTTTTTAAGCAGCTTCTTGCGGAATTGTTGACCGTACGCGTTTTGAACTCAAAATGAATTCCTTTCAATGCTTTGCCTTTGAATAGGTAATTGAATTGCCCGCCAAAAGTTCATAAGCCAATCAACTTCACGGATTTCGGGGACTCCCCTAGTGATGTAACCTTCTAAAAAGAAATGGACGCTTCTTTGCATACCCAATCAGATCGACGGATTTCGGGGATTCTCCTAGCTAGTGATCTAACCTTTTAGAAACAACAAGAACGCGACGTCAAAGATTGCAATAGAGCGTAAATATTTTTTTCCTTGTCTATTTGACCATTTCACATGAAGAATTAAAACGAAACAATCTTGTGATTAGGATTTTATTTCAAAGCCACAATGATTAATTAATACAAATTTATTGATACAAATTACAAAAATCAATACTTATAGTAGGTCTCATAAGATTTAGATGCAGTTTACAAAGAAAGCGATACAATAACAGGTACAAAAGCTGCCATGAATAATAACTTAAAACCCTGAATTTAAAAGTGTTCTATCGTCACTAAAGTTATCCCCGCTGAGTTAGTTAGGGAATTTTACCTAATTAAATTTCGGGGGATCCCCTCTGAGTTAAATAGGGAATATTCCCTAATGAAAACTGGGAGTCCCCGCTAATTTAATAAAGGGATTTTTTCTATTTAAATTTCCTTAATTAAAATTCAATTTTTTTGTTTTGTCTTTCACGCATAAGCAATTAAAACTGTTCAAATTCTTGATGATGATTTTATTATACCATTACTATAGTAATTAATTAAATAATATTCAATCGACACAAAAAACTTCTAGTCGTTTACACATTAAATGTGGTTGTAAGAATTGCAGGGGTAATGTCATGTTATGTTGCGTTTTTTTATTATTTCCGTTCACCATTCACACAAGAACGAGTGACACCGTTAGTTATTCCGTTTATTATTATTGATTTAGAAAAGACTGATTTTGGTTTCTATATGATATTTTTATTGAACGTTTTCGACCAAAGGTCAAAATAAGAATAAGACTACAGACTTACATACGAAACCAATGCTGCTTACAGTGCGTTATAGTTTTGATGTATATAAAATCTTGATGTTTTCTTGAGGTAATAAAATAATTTATCTAAAATAATTTCTCTTATGGCACAAAACGACTTTTAATTATTATTTTTAATTTTTTGACATGCGGAAGCATTTATTACTTAACTGCAAACCAGCGGCTAAACTATCATAAGCTCCTTCATTGCATCTAAAAATATTCTCTAAAAAGGTGAACTACGTCTTTCTTCGTTTCCCCCTTGTATTCTTTACTTTGAATTGCCGCCTTGGATGTTGAGAGGTAGAGCGAATCCCTTAGACCTTAGGCACTTGATGTATTTTTTTTCAAGCCTTCCTGGTTCTTCAAAACTGACAAATTTCATTGTAAAATTTGCCACTCCTGTTCTCGCAATCTTCTTGTCGATTGCCTGTCTAAGCGGCCTTGTACAATGCTGCCCAAGCCTTCGCCTGATGCGGATTGATTTTCCAACATAAAGCCATTTATTTGGTGCAGTTTCTAGGATTGCATATATCCCAGGTGTATTTGGGATTTCCTTACTTCTTATGGGATATTCTCTCGCTCTCATCAATTTGTTGCAGATGTTTTCGTACTTTCTTTCATTAGTTTCGCCCATTCTAAAAGTAAAAAGCACAGTTAGAGCTGATTTCTAGTTTTTTTTTCACTGTTCCACTTTCAAAAGCAATCTTGTACTTCGGATATATAATATTATAATTTAAAGCATATAGTCTTTTTCCCTCAAGAACATTCCTTGGAATGTTCTCGTACTTCGATATTGCTTTACGAAGGACGCCAAGCGATATTTTGACCAACTTGCATTTTCTTTCGGAAAAGTCTACTGACCTAAATCGCAAAGCTTCATCAACATCATGTTTTCATATATACGATAATCCGAGAAGCAATTGATCTGAACTGAGAATACTAGCCTATAGCTTTGTTTGTTATTGTTTTTTGTCAATCAGCTTTTTACAGTTCTCTAAAATCTGATCTACATGCTTAAACCAAATACAAGAAGCTTTACGACTCGAAAACCAGATCGAAAACTGACTTGAAACGATCGTGATTTAAGGCACTTACCTGAGATAACTTCTTTGTTGAGTGTTGCTGTGTTTTTGAGCAACACCTGGCGGAATTGTTAACCGTACGCGTTTTGAACTGAAAATGAATTCCTTTAAATGCTTTGCCTTTGAATAGGTAGTTGAATTGCCCGCCAAAAGTTCATTAGCCAATCAACTTCACGGATGTCGGGTATTTCCATAGTGATCGAACCTTCTAAGGGGAATGGACGCTTCTTTGCATATCCAATTAGATCCCCTAGTGATCGAACCTTTTAGAAACAACAGGGACGCGACACCGAATATTTTTTTCCTTGTCTACTTGACCATTTCACACAAAGAAAATGAAGCGATCTTGTGATTAGGATTTTATTCCAAAGCCACAATGTTTAATTGATACAAATTTATTGATACAAATTACAGCAATCAATACTTAGGTCTTATAAGATTTAGATACAGCTTACAAATGTCAAAGCCATAAAATAACAGGTACAAAAGCTGCCATGCATAATAACTTGAAACCGTGAATATAAAAGTGTCCTATCGTCACTAAAGTTATCGATGTTTTTAAAACTGTTTACCATGAGCTCGGTCGCGAATGCTCCGCTCTCCGCTTTCTTCTTCTTCAGAAACGACATTTCTTTATATGAAGTTGGTGTTCTGGCTAAAGGTCAGTTTTCGTTTTATTTCAGCGACGACGGCGTTCAGAAACAGTTTACAAAAGTATCGAGTATAAAAGCTGACTTGCATAATATTTTCTAAACCGACTTGAAGCCGTGTAAAAGTGTTCAAAGTTATTGATGCATTTTGAAACTGTTGTTTTCTTCTTGAGCTCAGTCGCGAAAGCTCTCCCTTTCTTCTTCTTCAGAAAAGACTTTTCTTGATAAAGTTGAGTGACAGATTCGACTTCTTTTTGGCCAAAGGTTAGTTTCGGTGTACTTCAGCGACGACGACGGCGTCCCGCGCTCTTTCTTGAAACAGTATTCCCCCGTGTGAAATTGTATGGAAGACTTGACTTGCCTTCCTTCTTCTTAGTACAGTTCATGTACTCTCTCTCTCTTCTTCCAGGTTTTCTCGTGGGTTTATATTTTAATCGAACATCATTTAAATTGATCCTGTCCAAATAACGATCAATTTTTTGCCTTCTTCCATTGAGATGCTCGCCAACTCTTCGCTTGAAATTAATCGTCTTTCCAACATTTTTACTTTTACCTGCTTTCACGATAGTGTACAACGCACTTATCATAGGAATATTTGTACTCGTTATTGGAATTGTCTTAGAATTCTTTTGGAATTTTCTGCAAGCCATTTGAAAAAAATTCTCCAGCAGTCAATGTGTAGAAGTTGTGTTCACTTTGTTGGCCTGGGCTGAAATGAACTGAACCAACGCAATTACTCGCCTTTTATATCTTGTATGACGTCATACTTCAGAA